CCAGCTCCTGCCAACCTAGCAGTTCGAAAGCAAGAAATTGCAAGTAGATAAATAGGTACCACTTCGGTGGGAAGGTAACAGCGTTCCGTGCGCCTTGGTGTTTAGTCATGCCGGCCACATGACCGCAGAAACATCTTCGGACAACGCTGGCTCTTCGGCTTTGAAATGGAGATGAGCACCGCAACCCTAGAGTCGGATTCGACTGGCTTTCGAGCAAGGGAACCTTTACCTTTACCTTTACTTAAGCTATCCTTAATTAGCATATTTTGACTGAGGAAGAACTTCTTTCTAATTGAAAAATATCAGTCAATAAAGTCCCTGTGCTTCATGCTTTATCTCTCTCCTCCTTTTCAAGATTAATCTGTTTGATCCCTTTACAATGATTTCTGTGTGATTGTAATGCTAGCCATGAAAAGCTAGGAATGTTTGCTTCACCTCACCAGTGTAGTGCATATTACCATTCTGACATCTTGATTTATGGTGTTTTCATATCTATGAAGTGTAGTGAGTTACTTGAGGATATAAATGAAACTATCAGGATTGGGCTGATTTTGGAAGCCAACAAAAGAATTCATTATGTCAAGCTTTTTGTTCTAATGCAATTCATATTTCTATCTAAATTAGAAGCTATCCTTAATTAGCATATTTTGACTGAGGAAGAACTTCTTTCTAATTGAAAAATATCAGTCAATAAAGTTCCTGTGCTTCATGCTTTATCTCTCGCCTCCTTTTCAAGATTAATCTGTTTGATCCCTTTACAATGATTTCTGTGTGATTGTAATGCTAGCCATGAAAAGCTAGGAATGTTTGCTTCACCTCACCAGTGTAGTGCATATTACCATTCTGACATCTTGATTTATGGTGTTTTCATATCTATGAAGTGTAGTGAGTTACTTGAGGATATAAATGAAACTATCAGGATTGGGCTGATTTTGGAAGCCAACAAAAGAATTCATTATGTCAAGCTTTTTGTTCTAATGCAATTCATATTCATTGGCGGGCCAGTCTGTTGATGACCAGCACATCAGCCACAGTGTGTTTCTAACAACAATTTTAATTTTCTGTTACGCCTGCTGCCAGATTCCAGTACCAGATTTGCTGCCATCAAGGCACAGCAGAATTATTTGAGTGCCCAGCTATGTATTTGAGGTGTCACGCACCCAGAAGTTCTTCAAGAAACATCCATTCTCCAACTACAAAGCCCTTGGCATTTACCTTTTCAATTAATGTGTTATAGTTCTAGATCTCTGAAGGAAAAAATAGTCTTCCACTCAGTTCTATAATATTTTTACAACTGTACAAGAATTATCCTACCATAGCTGGTGCCAATTAAATCTCTCTGTGATTATTATAACAATTAGAGAACATATTCTTGCAAAGGACATAATCCGGAAAGGGGACATAGCAAAAATACACAGCTGAGCTTGTTACGCTGCAACATTTGGACTGAATATGGTTGCCTACCACTGCCTACCACTGCACTGAATATAGTTGCCTACCACTGCAACCACACAGAAGTTGTCAAAAGGCAGAGGCTGTTTAAAGTGTTGTTCTCGGCCACCTAAAGTATCTGCAACAACTGGCTTAGAAAAATTGAAGTAGTGATACCAAGCATTTGTGTGGCTGGCCTTTTCTGTTTTCAGCAACTGCCGAATATGGTTGCCTACCACTGCAACCACACAGAAGTTGTCAAGAGGCAGAGGCTGTTTAAAGTGTTGTTCTCAGCCACCTAAAGTATCTGCAACAACTGGCTTAGAAAAATTGAAGTAGTGATAGCAAGCCTTTTCTGTGTGGCTGGCCTTTTCTGTTTTAAGCAACTGCTTATAAATAATCTGTCTACCTAGAACATTTTTATCTCACCCTACCTCCACAGATCTCATAGTGGCCCATATGGTTCTTTCTTGCCCATCTTAACCTCACAGTAAATGTGTGAAGTGGGTTAGGATTAGAGTGTGTGACTGGCCCAAAGTCACACAGCAAGTTTCCCAGGAGGGTGGAGACCTGAACCCTAGCTCAGCACCAATGTTCCCTCTAATCTGTGGAGTCTTGTGTGCAAAAATTCTACCTTGTGAGCTCCTGGCATTGAAGTTTTGAGTGAGTAATTTGGCTACTGCATAGCTTAGTTTGCTCTGGAGCCATCCTTCCTGAGCTAAGACAACAATTTGTGAGCCGGAGGCTAAAAAACTATGATCTAGTTCACAGAGGAAACACTGCTCAGCTCTCTAAATAGTTCTCAGAGATTTTTAAAATTTATTTTTGGTCCAATAGGCATAAGCAAGGGTGAACAAAGGCTGTAGACTAAGACAGCCATAAATAAGCCATATTTTCTTGTTTAAATAGCAGACAGAGTGGTATGTTCCTTAAAAGAGACCCTACAACAATGAACAAATAAATAGTGACAGTGTATATCAATTTTCAGATTTTTCTTTCTTTCATTTAATGACATGGAAAAGGTTGGAGAAGTTATCAGTCAATTCTTTGGTCAGCTATGTCTGTCAAATTTAAGAAAGAGAAAGAAAGAAAGAAAGAAAGAAAGAAAGAAAGAAAGAAAGAAAGAAAGAAAGAAAGAAAGAAAGAAAGAAAGAAAGAAAAAATAGAATTTAACAGACGAGTCAGAGAGGACAGTAGAGCATTTATTGATAGGCAGGCATTTGAAGTGGAAATGGCAAAAATAAGAGAAGATTTAGGGGCACTTTATCAAACTACAAAATGACTGGCAGGAGATTTATCTACAAAAGAGATCATCCAATAAAAAGGCACACACTACTAGAACAGCAAAAGTAAAGATTTGAGCAGTAGTTTTACATTGTATCAAAACCAGCACTTAACTTTGATAACACTGAAAATATGATGGAATTTGACATTTACTCTTTGAAACCATTGCTGAAAGATGAATATAAAAGGAGGCAAAGGAACATCACAGCCCAAGGGCTCTACATGAGTAGTGACGTCAACTTAAAATCACTACAGTGTTCCTCCAAATTGGATGGGAGAGGGAATATAATTAAACTGTTCCACAGCCACAGTTCCACTCAAATGTAAAGAAAGCAGCTCCTTTCTGCCAGGCTAGAACTTTTCCATCAAGAGCTGAGCTTCCAGGTAGCTCTGGAAAGGGGCTAAGATCTCTTGCTCGCTGGAATTTGCAAGGGCTGGGTCTGCTTCTTATTATCTTGGGCTCTTTGTTGTTTATTACATTTGCTGTTGTTTTTGAGTTTATATATAGGAGGGTATGGGTGTTGCTAGTAAGCCATTTTAGGCCCACTTTGGAGGGGAAAGGTAGGGTAAAAATATTTTAGTAAATAAAGAAGAGCAAACCACTATCACTTCCCGTGTCTTATTTACAGTATGCCATCTGTTTCAGCATTTCCAGCCTGAATCACTTCTGAGGTAAGAACCAGGTTGGGAGAAAAATCCTCCCCGCACCCAAGTGCTACAAGGTAAATCATGGGAAGAAGGAAGCTATAGATGTGAACCAATGGATCGTATGTAAGGACCTCCCTATTACAAATTATCCGTGTTCACTTGCTTTAATGAGTTTCAAGTCTGTGCCAATTCTGCAAGAAAATAAGGTCTATCTGCCTGAAATCTGGCAAGAAGAATCCTATGTATTAGGGATACAGTCCCTGAGAATTTCATCCCACTTGGATTGAGGAGAGGAGTTAGTTGTAAGAAATGTTCTCTCTATTAAAACCAGTCAAAATATGTAATAATAAAGTGAACACATATAATTAGAGATAAGAACTGTTTAAAACTATAGAAAACAGTATTACTACAGACCCCTATTTTCTCAGAGGGTTCGATCCTGCAACGTTCTTCTGTTAAGTCTTTCTATGATGGAGAGAGACTTTATCCAATGGTGAATGACTTGATGGAAAGAAGCTGTAGGATCCAATAGCAGAAAATAGTTGCAGTATCCAACCTACTATGTTTTGAGTCGCAGCATGCTCCAGGTTCTCCTATTGAATCTTCTCTAAGTAATATGAAAAGTGAACAAGAGTTCACATCCCAGTCCTAAAAAGCATTGTATTCTACGAAGCTTTCATGTGCTTAGGAACACATCATTGTTAACACATTTATTTAACAGCAGTAGTGTTAGCTTCAAGTGACTATATTCAAGAGCAGTGTACCCATCATTTAAGAAAGCAGCAACTGTGTTGGTAAATGCTAGGACAAAATCAGTTTTTACATAAGCCAACTGATCTGATGAATCAATTCTGGCATTATGAAGGAGGAGTAGCATCAGGGTCAAAACAATATGTTGCTAACAAATAAAGCAGTGAAGATAATGTGGCAAACAAAAACATGTGGTTAAATCCAAAGATAGTCATCCCCCCCCCCAAAGGGGGGTATTTTTGCTGATTACCCATTCCCACACCTATTTCTCGTCTATACTGTTCCTGAGAGTCCTTTTTCCCCAGAGCAGTATTTAGACAAGATCAGTGGGCTGCTGCAGAAGTGGCTGTGAATATGTCCTCTTTCTTTAGCAGAAATGAGTTATGCCAGCAGAATAGAAACTTTGGGTTCAACATGACATTCCTAAAAATAAGAAAATGTGCACAACTGTATAACCTAATGGTCTACAGAAACAAAGCACACACTGTATTCCAAATGCTAAACTCCCTGTATCAAAGATAAAGAATAAACTCCAATTCGTGCATCTGCACATGCATCCCTGAACATATATAGTTGGTGCAATCAGTTATGGCAATCCCAATCACCTGTTAGAACAGTGGATGGACTAAATTCAGGTCTTGTTTCCATGCTACCCAGAGCAGGTGATCAGCACTATCCACTAACCTCTTTTGATAGGTGTATGATGTTACATATCTATGATAACAGATAACATTATAATAATGAAAGATAAAGACTTCATAGAAAACTGAAAGCTATCTCCTCAGTTCTTTTGATAGTGTGATGAATGGTTATATGGGATGATCAAAAGTTCATCTGACAAATGTGGTTTTTAACTTTAGAGTCTAGAAGAAAAAACATATTCCTACCTTAAATGAGCTAGGAAAATGGTTAATGCGGTCTACGGCAGCCCAACCCCTGGAATGGGGTTTCCCCAGAAATTCTACATGATGACTTTCAACATTTTCATCTGAATCATATACCACATATTGTCCATTAACAGGATCGGGACAAACAATGCCAGGCCACCTTAAAATAAAATTTCTAAAAATCAGTTCAGAAAAGACAAAACATTTTTCCACAAGAAGCCACATTGTGGGATATTTAGGTATTAACATCAACTGAATTCCCTTTCTAAAGCTATGGAATATTGCTGTAGTTGCCTTTGTATCTTTGCCTTGAATTTTGAGATAATATTTATCAAACTATCTTTGTTTTTCAATTATTGAATTTAAAAATACAAACAAGAAAAGTTAAAGTTTTAGGAATTACTTTTCTAATATATTTTTCCTCTAAACTTGTCACAATACAATATTCAAAGCATAACTGAAAGTCCTTCTCTCTCCCATATTTCAAAAGTAAAATTATATTTAGCTTTAACTACAGTGCTTCATTTAAAATATACTATGAGTCTATTCCTGATGTATTTCCCTGCTATTAAATTTTACACTTACCGTGGCCACCCATGCATTTTCACCAAAACTAAACTTCCTAAAGGAAGCTTTGAATACACATACTTTAATCCATATTTTTGAAACTGTGCTGTCTCAGGAAAACATTCTTCAGAATCAGAGCATTTATTAAACCATGGATCAGCATTCATATAACAATACCATGGTGCACTGCTATCAACTTGTGCTGCATCATCACTTGATAATAGTCTCCATTTTAAACAGCTGCTGTTTTCACACTGTACCCACACTTTGTTTAAATAAAAATTATCGTCTGCTAGAGAATCCATATAGCAGACTTGTCACTTATAGAAGACTGAAGCTGTGAAGTACTTTGATCCTCTGAAATATAAAGAACAGAACAGTTTAACTAACATAAATCAAAAGCAATTCTAGATAGTTGCCATGAAGCTCATGCTCACATAAAAAATGTCTGCTAAAATTCCTAGCTAGGTTCTCAAAAGCAAGGACTAGTTATGCAGTGACAATCAGCAGGGGTTGAAGGAAACCACAGAAACAATTAGCTGGTATTACCATATTCCCAGGATATTTTCTTCATTAACAATGGAACTTCTCTTTTGTTGGCTTTGGATCTTTTTTCTTTTTTTTTTGTATACTGCCTTGGTGCTGAAAAGTTACTTATGGATTCTTTGCTCCATGCAGCATATGGCAGTCAGCCATTGTCAGTTTTCATGGTCAGCTAAGAATGTAGTTACCTGAAACCTATGGCTGCTAAAGTCAGAAAAGTTCTGTAAATATGCCCTTAAATATGAAGATTAGAAGAGACAAATGATATCCATAAGTAAGAGGTACCTAGGACTTCCAGAAGAGACAGAAAATAAGTTAGTGATAGCAATGAATCAAACTTTATTGGAACACAGCAAAATCATAGGATCAGATGGGATGGGTGAAACTGCCTGATGCATATGAAAGATTGGAGAATTTACTTAAGGCTCAACGAAGCAAGCTAAGATAAGTGAGCAGTGGCTTTCAGGCAACATGGGCAACACAGTTGCAGCCCTTGAATATTTTATCTAGCATTTCTTTATATGAATATGTAAAGAGTTTGGGGGTGTTGCTGGATCCTCAATTGCTGTGGCAAAGAGCTCCCCCCAGCTGCACTTGCTTAAATAACTATTGCAAACTATATCTTCTTCTTCATGCACACAAATCTGTATACCTTGAATAAAACTTTGTTGGTCTTAAAGGTGCCACTGGACTCAAACTTGGTTGCAAACACATTCTATGTGACCATGATAATCTGTGCTACCATAACCACCAGGATGGACTACTGTAGTGAAATGTAGAAACTGCCCTTGAAGACAGCTCAGAAACTTCAGCTGGTGCAGAATGCATCTGCCTATACACAAATAAATTGGACCAATCTGAGCATCACACCAATCTTGAAGCAGCTATACTGGCTCCCAATCTGCTTTAAAGCTCTTCATGATTGGGGTGTGTGTGTCACATCTGACTGAAGAACAGCCTCTCCTGCTATAGACCTGCACAGGTGAGCTCAGAAGCCCCCATGCTAACTTTCCCATCCTCTTGGGCAGCTGACTAGTTTCAACTAGGAAACAGGTCTTCTCAGACATTGTTTCTCTTTTCTCAAATAGTTGTGGGCTTTTAAAACATGGCTTTTTCAGAAATTCTTTTGTTGATGTTTTTTAATGTCTTTTTAGACCTTTCAGTAAGGTACAGGGAATTTCTCTGTTACAGTTTTCTACATTGTAAACATCTTTTTGGTGTAAGCCACTCAATACATTAAATAACACTTGAGTATTTAGAAATAAACATTTAAAGCTAAGACTGAGCATTCCGCTCAGTAGCTATCAGCTGGCTGTCCCCCCACTTAAGGTAGCCTGCCTTGCATCAATTAGGGCCCATTTCTTTACTATTTTAGTTCCTACTCTGTGGAGTGGACTCCCTGAGGAGAGGCGGAGGGTGCCATCACTAGAAATCTTCAGGTGGTGCTGCAAAGGCCATTTTATTTGCAAGAGCTATTAATGGTGTACAGACTGCAGATATTTTATAGAGGGGAGAGGATTATTTATTATTTCGTATATTTTAAATTGTACTATTTTAAATTGTAATAAGCCATCTTGCATCACAAGGAAAGGCAGGATATACATATTTTAATAAATACAATTTTTACTGGAAAAAGTAGATGAAGCTGTGGTTGTGTCACCTGCAATTTGAAACGTACAGCATGAATCCCCAGGTTGTTTGACTAAGAGCAGAGTAAAGCATATGGAATGTTTAGTACTGCAACCCCAATGTTCAATTAGATTACAAACGGCAAACCCCTCTCTGTATGATCAGTCATGCAAGCCACTAGTATTTAAAAAAATTCTATTACAATAATTGAGTGTCAATGATATTGAGAGTTTGCCCAGCTCCATCACTGTGAATGAGCGACCAGGGACCGAACAAAAGAACATTAACACTATTTCTCAAGGCCTATGGATGGTTTACCATATTGCAATTTACCTCCTGAGCGGGCTTGGGGTGTGTGTGTGGAATCTGAGTGTTCTGCAGAGGCAGAGGTGTATGTCTGTCTCAAAGAGAACAAGCTACCCAGTCTGGAATATGGAATTTAGGAAGCTACTGGAAGTCAGCTGGAGTAGAGGGCGGCACAAACTGCTTCTGGAAATCTGCTTGCCAATGAAAGTGCATCTATTTACTTCCAATGCATCGTTTACCTACATAAATACGTGTTTTATGTTTTTACCTTTTCGTGGGTTTATATTCATTTTTTAAATATTTGTATTTTCAACGTTTGATATGTTTTAATGTTTGCTGCCTTCGGGATCCTGAACTGGGTAGAAAGGCAGCATAGAAATGCTTTAAATAAGTAAAGCAAATATAACAAAAACACCATCAGTATATAACTCTAAACAGGATTACACTTTTCTAAGCCTTCTGAATACAATGGCCTTAGAATGGTGCAACTCTGCTTAGGAATTCACCATGTAAGTCCAAACCAACCAGTGGAAGCCGGGTCTGGGTAAAAATTGGATCTAGATGATTTTAAACGGATCCTCATGAATTCATATGATTTTTACACTGAAACAAAATAAAATCACCATCATACTGTAGAACACGTCTTAGACTATAGGCAGTACCACAAAAATCATGCATCCGCAGATTTGTGGCCCACAACATGACAAAAACATGATTCCAAAGCATGGATCTGCATGAATTCATATGATTTTTACATCAAAATGAAATTAAACCACCATCACACAATAGACCATGTCTTAGTCTATAGACAGCACCACAAAAAATCACGCATCCAAGGATTTGTGGCCCCACAACAGTACAAAAACTTAGTGCCAAAGCACAGATCCTCATGGATCCTCATAATTTTTGTATTATGTCATCCCACACTCCTATAATATCAATAACCACAGATTGTATAGAAAAACACACACATCCACGGCTTTGTGGTGCCATAACAGCGAAAAAACATGGTTCCAAAGCACAGATCCTCATGGATCCTCATGGTATTTGCATTGGGTTACCCCAACATCAGAATCAAATCACCTATCATGGCCATGGGCAGAGCTCACACCACAAAAATCACGGATCCACGACTTTGTGGTGACACCATGCAACAAAAACATGGTTCCAAAGCACAAATCCTCATGGATCCTCATGATTTTTGCTTTGGGTCACTCCAACATCACCATAAAATCATATATTGTATCCATTGGCAGAACATGCACCACAGAAATCACGGATCCACAGGTTCATAGTGATACCATGGAGCAAAAACATGGTTCCGGACCATGGATCCTCATGGACCCTTAGGATTTTTACTTTGGTTCCCCCCAAGTTCACCATCAAATCAGATATCATGCCCACACCAACAGCTTACACCACAAAAGTCACAAATCCACAGCTTTCTGGTGACACCATATTGCAAAAAAATGGTTTTGAAGCACAGATCTTCAGGGATCATCACGGCTTTTTGCGTTGGGTCACCCCAACATCACCATCAAATCACATTCCATATCCATGGCCACAGCTTGCACCACACAAATCATGGATCCATGGCTTTGTGGTGACACCATGCACGAAAATATGGATCCTAATGGTTTCTGAATTTGTTCACCCCAAACACACAATCAAATCATATATTACGTCCATGGACAGAGCTTGCACCACAGAAGTCATGGATCCATGGCTTCATGGTAACACCATCCTGCAAAAACATGGTTCCAAAGCAGGAATCCTCATAGACCCTCAGGGTTTTTGCATATAGTCACCCCAAAAGCACCATCAAATCACATATCCTGTCCATAACTACAGCTTGTACCACAGAAATCACGGATCCAGAGCTTCATGGCATCACCAGGAAGTAAAAACATGGTTCCAAACCATGGATCCTCATAGATCCTATCGGTTTTTGAATTCGGTCACCCCAAACTCACCATCAAATCATATATTATGTCCATAGCCAGAGCTTGCATCATGGATCCATGGCTTCATGGCAACACCATCCTGAAAAAATGTGGTTCCAAAGCCCAGATCCTCATGGATCCTCGGGGTTTTTGCATTGGGTCACCCCAACATCCCTATCAAATCATGTTTTTTCCCACCATAGAGAACAATGGAGGAGATAGGGGCAACCTGTTTGGGGTCCCATAGTATTGGACCCCCTGGTCCACTGTTCTTGAAACTTGGTGGGTATCTTGGGGAGAGGCTCCAGCAGCTGCCCTGGGAGTTTGGAGCCTTTCCCTCAAACCACCTCCCCTCCAGCCTCCAGAATATACCCTATGCTTTCACCATTGACTTTAATGGCCCATAGGATATACTGGGGCCGTTTCAGATCAGAGAATCTGAATCGACCCACAGCAGCCCGAAAGGGGCCCGAATGGGCCATTTTTGGGGGTGCAATCAGCTCAGACTAACTGAATACACATCCCTAAGCCATGGCATGAAGCGGTGCAAAGGCAGCCAGGCGAGCGGGCTAAAAGGTGAGGTGCGACCAGGGGGCTGTGGGTCCTAAGGCTGAACCTGCAACTACAGAGATTTCTCCCCTTCTCCCTCCAGTGCAATATTGCAGACATCGCTCGCTTGCATGCGCCTGTGCCCTCATCGCCAAGGAAGCTGGGAGAGAGAAACACAGCACTCCCTCAGCTTCCCCTCCCAGGTTTTTCCTTCAGCTCCTGCCTTCTCAGTCCAGCCCGGTTGCACCAACGCAGGGCGCACACAAGCCACCAGGGCAGCAGAGCAGCCATCTCCATCCTGTCTGCTCGCCCACCTCTCCTCCTTTGGCTTGTTT